CACTGCAACCTCAAACTCCTGGGGTCAAGGATTCTCTTATCTCAGCCTCCCAAGTAGCTGGGATTACAGGTGTGCGCCACCATACCCAGCTAATTTTTCTTTTTTTTTTCTTTTTTTTTTTTTTTTTTTGTAGAGATTGGGGTCTCACTCTTGCTCAGGGTGGTCTCGAACTCTGGCCTCAAGCATTTCCCACTTCAGCCTTCCAGAGTGCTAGGATTACAGGCGTGAGCCACCGTGACCGGCCAACCAGGATGTCTTTATACCTCCCTCTCCAGGTTACTTTGAAATTAAGTACAACCACTGCTAAAGTGTTTATAATTAAAACTGGGTATAAGTTTTTAGTTCAAATTGGCAGTGGGGAGCGGGAGGAGCTATGTGGAAAATGGGGTCAAAAATAGATTGCAGGCCTGGCGAGGTGGCCCACGCCTATAATCCTGGCACACTGGGAGGCCAGGGCAGGAGGATCGCTTGAGGTCAGGAGTTCGAGACCAGCCTCAACAAGAGTGAGACCCCGTCTCTACTAAAAAATAGAAAAATTAGCCACGCGTGGTGGCACACACCTGTAGTCCCAGCTACTTGGGAGGCTGAGGCAGGACGATCTACTGGAGCCAAGAGTTGAGGTTTGTGGAGCTAGGCTGGATGCCACAGCACTGCAGCCCAGGGACAGGGGTGATATACTGTCTCCAAAAAAAAAAAATTCAATTTGGGGATCATATTGTTCGTATTTTATTGGGATCTTTGGTCTGTTTTTTATTTTGGAGGTAGTATTCAGTTCTTGCAGACTGAGGAACTAGCAAGGCCAAGACAAAGATGTTCCTTTTGGCTTTACTATCTCTGGAGAAATGTTGAGAACCCTCAATTAAGCAAGAAATACAGAATAGAGTCACTCAACTTTTTGTTACCTTACAATATAACTGGAATTCCTTTTTTTTGAAAACTTAGTGTTGGAACTCTCCCTCAAGCATGTGTGTGATGATCTGGTGTTGCGCTCTCTTGGCTCACTTTTTGTACAGTTAGAGGACATGCATATCACTCGGTGCCGGGATAAACTTGGAATTTGGCTTAGTGAAAAGCTTTTTTAGGCGGCGCTGTGGCTCACGCCTGTAATCCTAGCTCTTGGGAGGCCGATGGCGGCGGATTGCTCAAGGTCAGAGTTCAAACCAGCCGAGCAAGAGGAGACCCCGTCTCTACTATAAATAGAAAGAAATCAATTGGCCAACTGATATATATATAAAAAATTAGCCGGGCATGGTGGCACATGCCTGTAGTCCTCAGCTACCAGGGAGGCTGAGGCAGAAGGATCGCTCGAGCCAGGAGTTTAAGGTCTGTGAGCTAGGCTGACCCACGGCACTCACTCTAGCCTGGGCAACAAAGCGAGACTCTGTCTCAAAAAAAAAAAAAAAAGCTTTTTTAGTGTGTTTGCATTTGTGTCAGAGCTTTCATTTAAAGCAAAAACTTCCTGTGGCTTACTTTTTTTGTCTCAAAGTGGAGAATAATTCAAAACTTATGTTAATGTAAGCTTTGTGGATTTATATAAAGAGTGAAATCAGTATTCTAATTTAATAGCATTATCCACATTCTGAGAGACTTAATTTATGGTTAAATCATTGGTGGACTTATCAAGGCATGGCCCAAAAATGTATGTATGTGACATACATGTCATATGTCACAAAGGTATATGTGATACCTATTTTTTCCTGAAGGAAACGCTTAAACTATTAAGACCAGTAGGCATCTTGTGCAAAAACACTGAAAAATACACCTTTTTAAAGTTACTGATTTCCCTTTTTCTTACTTTTGCCTTTTGTCTCTACAACTGAGCCTCCTTTTCTGAGTAGGTAGGTTTCTGAAGAGTGTATAAATTGAATATGTAGAATCACTATCTTATGTTTCCAGTATCACGGTTTTAGAGATGCATTTCCTTATTCCTCTGAGCTAATCACTTTTCAACAAACATTTATTGAACACCCAGTATGTGCCAGGCCCTGTGCTACATTCTAGGAAAACAAAAATCAGCTAGTCCTGGTGCCTATTTTCAAAGACCTCACAGTCTAAAGAGAAGACAAAAACATAACTAGACAAAACATCAAAATACTACTGCATACCTAATGGAACCTACAGACATGAAGCAGAAAAATACTCTAAGGAGAAAAACTGTGTAAATGAGTGCAGAGGTTTTGCAGAGGAGGTGATGCTGGAATAGGGTCTGAAGGATTAGCAAGAGCTCTCTAGACACACATGGTGGTGGAGTCCAGGCTCTCAGCCAGGCTTTCCAGAGAGGAAAGCAAACAACTCACAGTCTCATCTTAGAGGGTCCCAGGAAGTACTTAAGTAGCTTCAGAGCCCTGAAGGTGCTTTTGCTACTCAGACTTTATCAGCTGGGCTAGCAAGGTGAAGCCACTTCTCAAAGCCAGAGTTGTGCATTGTAAGAAGGCTGACTGGTTTACACCTGTCAAGTATTTCTGCACCTTAGCAGAAGGTCCCCAAAACTGAGAAAACTTCTCCTACTTAATTATTACTTTTCATCAGTTACTTCTCTGCAAAGCAGCTCTTAGCTTACTACTACTTCGTAAGAATTGGCATCTATGGAAATATGGTTTTCTCATTTTCCTTACTGTTTGCCCCCAGGGCTCCCCTGCCAGAATAGCTGCTTGCAGCCCTTGCTTGTACTGTGGATGCCCATCCCCTGTCAAGTCCTGAGCATCTGCTCCAGCCCCTACCCTCACCCCACACCCTACCTTCCTGGGCCTGTTCCCCGCACTGAGCTGCCCCGTAGTCCAGGGGGAGTTCCTTCTTGCTTCCTCTCTGCTCCAAAACCCTGTGGGAGAATGGGCACAGCTGGTAGGATTCGTTCAGTTATTTGGTTGTTTTGTGTCTAGGGATTGTAGTCTTAAAAAATGAAAATAATCTACCTTCACACTCACTGAATGCTATTATGGGCCAGGCAATGTGCTGACTTCTTACCACCACCCCTGGAGGTAGGTATTTCCATATTACAAATAAAAATTAAAGCATAAAAAGATTGAGTGACTTGCCTGAGGTCACACAGCTAGTAAAAAGCAGAACTGGCATTGAGCCCATCAGACTGTAGGCCCAAAGCCAAGACCTGGGACTAGAGTTCAGATCCGGCTGATGCCTGGAATGGTAGTCCCTGACCTAGATGTTCAGTCACAGCTGTTGTCTTGATAGTTCCAGGATTGCTCCTTTCCTCGCCACCTTCACCACTGTTGCTTCATCCACATCCCCTAACTGCCTACCTCAGTGTCGTCCTCCTGCTCTGGTTTACCCACAGCATTGCCACAGATCAGTCTTTCTAATAAACTGACCTCATCATCTCACTCTGCTGCTTACAACCCTCTGTGGCTCCATGGTCCCTTCAGGATAAAGTCAAACAATGTTGTCTCTGATATGGCCACTACCCCTGTCCTTGAGCCACTTGGGGTGCCATGCTGTCATCCATGTTCATGGGCCACCCCTGTGCTTTTCCCTCCTCTGCACCAGCCAGGGCCTCAAGATTCTTTGAGACCATCACCTGCTCTTAGGAACCCTCCCATTTGAGTTCACAGAATTCACTGCTTATTTCTGCATCCCAAAGGGCATGATTATTAGGTGTAGCTTTTTTTCTGTAGGGCAAGGCCTGTCCCTTGGTGCTTATTTATCCCAGCAGTGCCTCAGTCCTGCTGAGGGGAAACCATGTTCCGCCTTGACAAGGGCTGGGGGTGACGGCACCCAGGCTCCAGGTGTGCCATCCACTTATAAAGCACACATAATTTGGGGTAAGGCACCCATTAAACCAATAGGCTACAAGTAAGTCCTGAATTATTACCATGGTAAGTGCTAAGAGAAAAAATTACAGATTTTAGTGTTTTTCATGGGAAGGCTTACTTGGTCTTGAATGTTGGGTCTTGGGTGGTGAGAGGAAAGGCAGTGATGGCTTCTCAGCCTGATCATGAGTGTGCATGAACAAGGTAGTGAGCTGAGGCTAGGACATTCTAGAATGTGGACATGGTATGCGCCACAGCTCAGGGTCGGATGGAAGTGTGGAGGTCATGGGAAGGCCTGTGTGTCCAGCATGAGAGGAGGGGTACGTGTAGGTGGGCCCAGCTCCTTCGGGTCTCATGGGGCCTGAACGCTGGGAAGCCATTGCTGCGTTCTGAGCAGAGGAGTGACATGCTCGTATTTACATTCAAAAAAGGTCACTCTGGCTGCTGTGAGGAAAAGGACTGGAAAGGCCCAAGTGCAAGTGTGGAGGCTGTTGCGGCCGTGCCGCTGTGAGAACGGGGCTGCTCAGGAGCTCCTGAGGAGGTCAGCAGACAGGGCCTAGTGCCTGGACACGGGCTCAGGCGGAGGGTGGGCCCAGGTGGGTGCAGGGAGCAGCCAGGTGGCTGGTCACCAAATAACTGTGTGGCTGCTGGCCAGACCCAAGTCACTGTCCCCTGATGCCTTCAACCAGGATCTGCCCCACGGAGCCCACTGCATGGCTTGCCTGTGAGGTGGCTCCTTGGAGAGCGCCGTGAGCTTCAGAGCACAACATAAAGTCCCTCTAGTTCTTCAGACTTATGCTGTGTACTTCACCCAAGTGTCAGAGATCAGTGTAAGGGCTTACCCATTTTCATCAGTGATTCTAAAGTTGACTTATTTGCTATGATCATTAAAATGCCAGATGAGAATAAGCCATAGGGACAGACCTTATGCATGTTAACCACACTCGGTGTGACTAGGTAGGAATATGAGCAGCTACTGAGTTGTCCAAAGTTTGTTTATATATTCCATGAGGCATCAGTTGCTTTTAAAATCTACATTTGGTTGAAATTTGACCTATTGTGTATAGTCTTATAAATAAATCAAGTGCTTTGTGAGATGTGTTGCATCCATGGACACAAGCTCATGGTGAGCATATCCCACAAGGTTTTCAGTAATGATTTGTCTGTTTGTAGTTTAACTACTTAGGTAAACAGAATATTAATTTTGATATGTGATTAGAAAATTTTTTTTTGTAGGCTTTACCGCCAGCACCTGTTCAGAATCACACAAATAAGCATCAGGTATTCAATGCATCTCTTCAAGACCATATTTATCCGAGCTGTTTTGGGAATACTCCAGAGTGGAATAGTTCTAAATTTATAAGTCTTTGGGGATCAGAAGTGATGAATGATAAGAACTGGAATCCTGGCACTTTCTTGCCAGATACAATTTCTGGTAAGGAATCTGTTAAAACTTTCTTAAAGTTTTAAAATAACCCAAGCTGAATAGATTGACACTTTGCTGTAACCTCCTGTAGAAGCTCTGGTGCAGCTATACCCAGCTGCTGCTCCCTCACCTCCGTCCTTGGGTCCTTGGGGGCTGTCCTTCTGCCCCATCCTTTGCATCTGCCACTAGTCAGTCCCCTGCATTGATGGAGCAGAGCAAGGCTCTGGCTCCGTGGCTGTGCGTCAGCCCAGGGTCTAGTCTGCACCGTTTGATGTCCAGCCTATGATTCTCAGCAGTAGTGACAACCAGACCTCAGCCCCAGTGAAAAGGGGCAGGGAGACAGTGTCACGGTCGACTTGAATGCCGTGGCTTTTGTTCCTTTTCTCTGATTTCTGTATTGGCCCTACATGGGATCTGTTCCCTTCTAATAAGCTCCTTCTTCCCCAGCTGCCTCAGCTGCTGAGGCTCAGCTGTTGACTTCAGTCGCAGGGCCCAGAACACCTGAGGAGGGGCTGGTAGCTATGCCTCATCTCTGTCTTCATGTGGCCAGAGCTCGTGGTAGCCCCACACCCAGCCCCTGCATGCGCTCAGAACAACAAGCTAGACTGGACATCCCGATCTGTGCTTGGGAAGGATTTCTAGCTGTGTGACCTTGGGCAAGTTGCTTAGCCTCTCTGAGTCTCAGTTTCTTCATCTTCTTAGGATGAGTGTAATAGTACCAACCTCAGAAAGTAGTTTTAAAGCATTAAATGACTTTAGGAAGCACTGTGCACAGGAATCGGCACATAGTAGGTGCTCAATAAAGATGTTTTCTTAGATTAAAACCAGCTGACCAATATCAGCCCAGTGGAGGCCTAACTACAGTACATCCCCAGTATTAAGTGTTCCAATCATCAGCATGTCTTGTAGGGTTTAGCTAAGTATTATTTCTGTTAGAAGTCTTAATTTTCCCATTCTTCTCTGAAGGGAGTGATATATTAGGGCCAACACTCTCAGAAACAAGACCTGAAGCCCTTCCACCTCCGTCTAGCAGTGAAACACCTGCAGTTTCGGATAAAGAGAAAAAAAATGCTGCAAAAAAGAAATGTCTGTACAATTTTCAAGATGCTTTTATGGAAACAAACAAAGTTGTCATGGCCACCTCATCAGCCATGTCCTCCGTGTCCTGCACAGCTACCACAGTGCAGTCGAGCAACAGCCAGTTCAAAGTGTCGTCCAAGAGACCTCCTTCAATAGGTAAGGCCTGTTAGTCCTTGGGGACCCTCATAAAAGGCTCGGCTTATTTACCATCTTTGTAATTGACTTTTATTTAGCCTCCCAGAGGCTATGCTAATATAATTAATGCCCCAAATGTTCACCTACAAAGAGCTTGGCCTGTAGGGCTCTGACAAGAATTTTAGCTGTTATACTAAATCCCACTGGGGCTGTGCTGCACTGGGTCTTGCCTTCAGTCTCTGTGCCCATTGTTCTGTGACAGGAAGAGGCCATTGCTTTCTGAGCATGTGGTGGGATTCCTCAGAAGCTGCTTTAGGAAAATGTTGAGCAAGGAGAGCTGACAGAGCTGCCTGTCACCCACCCCCTGCTGTCACTCGTGTTAATCCACTATCCAACAGTGGGAAGAGGGCCTGAAAGTAATTAGAGACCAATGGAGAACTCATGAGTGGCTCAAATGGGGCCTCACTATCCAAAGTTTGGACAGACTGAGCATCAGAAAGAGTCATGAAATGGATGTTACCACACAGAGAAGGTTGAGAGTCCATAGGGGGGAGGCAGGGCAGCTCTTTTTCACAGAAGTACACCACTGCTGTGTGAGTAAGAAGAGTAGAAGTGGCATGTCAGCACTCTGCAGCTAGCTCTGCTGTAGTCCCTGGTTCAGGCTCGCATCATCAGTGGATGATAAGAATGTTGGATGTCAGTTTGGGGAACAGAGCATTTCCGCTCATGGGACTGACACGTTACAAAAGGATGACAGAATCTGGCATCTTACTCTGGAGGAATCTGGCAGGCAACCCTCTGCACACTGTCATGGAACAAAAGGACATTCATTAGGTGCTTCCTACTGCCAAGAAATGGGAAGAATCCAACATAACCTTTAGGATTCATGCCCCAAATGTTTCACCTGAATGTATTGAGACAAGATAAATCCAAGTTGGCAGATAGCTGGCCTATTGAAAAATGTCTTGGAAGAAGCTATGTTGGGGGGAAAGCACTAAAGGACATATGGAGAAGATTGGAAATTTGCATATAAATTGTGCATTGGTTAAGAGTTCCGTGTCCATGTTAAATGTCTTTGGTGTCATAATGGTATAGTGGTCATACAGCAAAATGTTCATGTTCTCAGGAATTCATGCTGAAGTGTTTAGGAGTGAGTGCAACTTCTAAATGTTAAGCCAAAAAATGTGTGTGTATATAAGAAATAAAGTAAATATGACAAAATGATAGATCATCATGAATCAAGGTAAGGGATGAAGGGTGTTTGTATTGTTCCTTCAAACTTTCTATAGGTTCAGACATTTTTAAGACAAAACATTGGTGAAAAATTGTGATTAAGGTAAACATGAATGTCTGTTTCTTCTTCAGCCATTGGCCATGACTCTCGGTCTCTCGATGCAGGCGATGTCTTTCATGGCATCAACAAGGAGGATCATAGACACTCGGCACCGACAGCCCCAAGGAACAGCCCCACGGGCCTGGCCCCGCTCCCAGCACTCTCTCCTGCTGCACTCTCGCCTGCCTCCACCCCTCACCTTGCAAATCTTACAGCCCCATCATTCCCCAAAGCTGCAACCACAGCTCCCGGGTTTGTGGACACACGCAAAAGCTTCTGTCCCACTCCCCTGCCCCCCACCACAGACGGCTCCATTAGTGCCCCTCCTAGTGTCTGCAGGTGAGCAGGTCCTAGAGGGGTGGTTGGAATCACTTTGGGAAATGGGTGTTATGCATACTAACACAGCTACAGAAACTGCCCCCGGAAACATGAGCAGTTGAAAAGTCAGAGGAATACAGAGGGATTTGCAGGGTCATCCCCAGCAGAGGCCATGGGGAATTCCCATCCCAGCCTCTAGCTCTACAAGGGAAGAGCAGAGATGCTGAGCCACTGTGGGTCGGTGGGCAGACCACCCCTAACGATGGGCAACATCGGGCATGTCTCTTGTTTGGTTTTTAAGTTGTATTTGTTGTACATTGGATAGAGTCAGAAGAAAATGTATAAAATGTATATAGTGAAGCACAGTACAGCAAACAACAGTGTTTTTTTATAGAAGACAAATTTTTGTTATCTTTGAACTCACCTGTTTGAAGCCATCCCTCCCTCCTGCTCAGTGTGGAAGCAGGTGGCAGGAACAGTCACAGAAGGAGACATTGGAGAGACTGTTTCTGTTTCGTGGCGCTTTACAAGTGCTATGAGTGACTGTCTGCCTGTAAGCTGTGCCTCCTGCCCAAACCCTCTGTTGCCACCTGTGCTTGACTACAAGTGACACCCTGGGGCACACATCCTCTGCCTCTTATCTGTGAAATGGGCAGAACTATGGGAGGGTGAGAGAAGGCAGGCCATTTGCTAACGAGCCTGTGTGTGGTTTTGCAGTGACCCTGACTGTGAAGGACACCGCTGCGAGAATGGTGTCTATGACCCGCAGCAGGATGACGGGGATGAGAGTGGGGACGAGGACAGCTGCTCTGAGCATAGCTCCAGCACCTCGACCTCCACCACCCAGAAGGAGGGCAAGTACTGTGACTGCTGCTACTGCGAGTTCTTCGGGCATGGTGGGGTAAGTGTGTGAGGCCAGCCTGTTGGGAAATGAGAAGTGTGCAACACGCAGGCTCTTTCACAAGCATTATATACTAGACTCATTCAAGGTGTGGTTATATTATATGGAAAGCTTCATTTGCAGCAGAGTTAAAATCCGGATGTGGTCTGAAATAGCAATGCCACTTTTAAGTTATACTTACCTAAAGAAACAATAAAAATACCCTGTACTATGGCAATTAAAAAAAAAAAAAAAAGAAAGAAACAATAAAAAGTATTTGCCCAAAGATTTAGCTATAAGGATTTCATCACTGTATTTTTATATTTGTTTATGATTTTTAAAATAGTTGGTGAAGTGGGGGGCATCTACTGATTGCCCAGCTGTAGGACATTGTTACATAGTACATCCATACAGTGGAATACTATGTAGCCAGTTGCATCAGTGTTTTATATGTATAGTTTGAATGCAAAGGATGGTGGTACCCATACATACTTATACATCTTTCCAGAGCAGTAATTTAATTTGTATAAATAGTTATCATTCATGATTTATGAGAGATGAGCAGTAGGAAAAGCAGGGGCTTGTAGTTTTTCTACTTCAGTTTTTAATAGTAAGAAATTTGGCAGTAGAATTGAGGGCAATTATTTTCCTTTTTGGCACTGAAAAGGAAATCTACAAATGGATGGACAGATATTACAGGTACCTTTATTGACATGAAAAGAGATTCACACTGTATTAAATAACAAGTAGATGAATCAGTATGTGTAATTGTTTCTTTTCAGTTAAAAAAACATCCATTTGTGTACTTAGTTGTACGTTCTTTCCCAGGTCTTTCATGAATGTATAAAATTTGAGGGGTAGGTGACAGAATGCAACTTTTGAATAACTTGGTGATGATAGTTTTTCTTTTTTCTGCCAGCTTATCTTATTTCATTATATTCACAATGAACATGTACTACTTATAATAAAACAGTTTATTTGTAGAGATATCTGAAATTTGTTACATTCAGAATTAAAACCTGCAGTTTAATTTAGTTGTGTTATTTGTCTTAGCCTCCAGCTGCACCAACAAGTAGGAATTATGCAGAAATGAGAGAGAAGCTTCGTTTACGGCTGACCAAGAGGAAAGAAGAGCAGCCTAAAAAAATGGATCAGATCTCGGAAAGGGAAAGTGTCGTTGACCACCGAAGGGTAGAGGATTTGTTACAGTTTATAAACAGCTCAGAGACCAAACCAGTAAGCAGCACTCGAGCAGCCAAGCGAGCAAGGCATAAGCAGAGAAAGGCAAGTGATGTAGCTTGGGTCTGAGGCACTTGCTGTGCTCTCTAGGAGCAAGGTTGAGCTGCAGGCGGTGGGGGCTCTGAAGCAAGTTGACTTATTCCCGTCTGTCTCTGGTGGTCTGAACTGGAAGCTGGTTAAAACTCTTACTTTGTACTTTCAGGAAGCTACTTCCCCTTTTGTGTAATGGTTCTGCTAGTGGATCTAACACAAGCTGTCAAGTTCTTGTGCTGGCCATCTTAGGGGCAGCAGCAGACCCAGCTTTGTCTGCATGAGAACCTTCCTTCCCAAGGAAGTAGGGAAGAAGGAGCCCTCTATTGTAGAGGTAGTGGAAGTGGAGCTTGTGAGGGCTTTTGGAGCCTGTGACTGAAGAAGTGACTTTGATATGGGATTGGAAGGGCATTTGGCACAGGTCCATGTTCCTCTTGTACCACTGGCCATTCCAGATGAAGGCCAGTGCATACATTGATGTGGAAGACTAAAATGACCAGCCTTTGTGGGAAGTCTTGGGCAGTTTCCACCTCACCAGAGGGCGTGGTGTGTCACAAAAAGTAAATGTCTGTGTGGCCCAGTGAGGAGCTATGAGCAGACTTCAAACTGTCTGCTAATAAATGAGAAATTATATTCTTTTTATTTATTTTGAGACAGGGTCTCGCTTTGTCACCCTGGCTAGAGTGCAGTGACGTGATTAGAGGATACGTCACTGCAACTTCAAACTTCTGGGCTTAAGCAATCTCCTGCCTCAGCTTCCTGAGTAGCTGGGACTACAGGTGTACACCACCATACCTGGCTAATTATTTTCTGTTGTTGGTAGAGACAAGGTCTCGCTCTTGTTCAGGCTTGTCTCAAGCTCCTGAGCTCAAGCAGTCCTGCCTCAGCCTCCCAGAGTGCTAGGATTACCGATTTGAACCACTGCGCCTGGCCAAGATATTCTGTTCTCACTCGATGCTAATGTTGGTACTGCTGGGAATCGATTAAATCTATGATTTGCATCTACCCTGCCCCTGGCAAAATTTCTCTTGGAGGATTTTCTACAGCACCTCTATACTAGAACAGTTCCAAAGATCCTCCTGGTTTCAGCTCACTAAAAAGATCTGGCTCCAAGAGCCAGATCCAAGCAGATGTGGGCCACAGGCAGAGAGGAACTTGTTAATGTTGCTATGGTTCTGACAGTGGGATGGTTGCTTTAGGAAGGGGCAAGGTCGCTGCCTGTAGCTTGGTCAGGCAAGGACATGAAGAGGAGAAGGAGACATTCCCACATGGACCAGAGGTTGGGTCTTATGTCTTATATTGTTGCTTCCAACTTGGCTGTTTTGATTCTACGCTAATTGTGATTATTCTAATTGGATTAACCATCAAGAGCTCTGCTTGTACCTCACAATCCTAAAGTAGGTTTGGACTGGCTTTGGGGTCTAGTTGGGAGGCTTTAGGGGAGAAGCTTGTTCTGTGCCTCACAAGATCTGGGTTTGCCTCATCTTCTGAAGTGAGGAGCACATGATGTGTTCTGGCATCAGAGGCCCCACGGTGGTTCAAGACCTGAGACCTCACAATGGGACTCACGGGAGCCACTGGGCCCCTTCCAATGCTTTCTGGGGTATCCTCCACCCCAGGCACTTGCCCTCTGACCTTGTAGGCAGTCTGGATCTAGTCTTCAGGTCAACACCCACTCACACCTCATGGGACCTCCTCCTCATCCTGGTACTCTCTCCCTTGACCTCATGCCATAGGACAGCCCACAGGTCTGTGCTGAGGCTCGGTGACAATGGCTGGTTGTGGATATGAAGGCAGCAGCTCCCCTATGGACTCTGTCCTGTAGCAGGTTCACCCCATAGCCTTTGCTGGGGGAGTCACTCCACTGGAGGCTAAGGCTCCTGCTCACAGTAGGTGTCCTGACCTGTTTGTCACCAGGCAATGGTGTGACAAGTTCGTGCCAGAATGAAGCTCAGCACTGAGAGGACAGCAGCTGCGCTGTGTGTGCCATTGAATATAGTGATGGAATCAGTTTCCCCTTTGGCACAGCCCTGTGGCCCACTGCAGACACTGGACCCCACTCTAGGGCCTTTCCAGGAGCTGCCTATCAGGGGCTGCCTCCTAATGAAGATTTCCTTTTTAGCAGATGGAGCAAGGAATTAAATAATTTTTACTTGAATTGTCAAATTAAGTTTTTAAAAAACATGTTATTAAATTTTTACCATAATTTTTATTTAAGTTTTTCAGAAAATAAATTCGTCTATTAAAAATATTGTGTAAAATAATTTAAACTTGGGCAGGACTTTTACATTTTCCCAAACAAAATGCTTTTGCCAAAGTTTCTTGTAAACACTAGCTTTTTTCGAGTTCAATGATAGGCAGCGCCATGCTTCTAACTCTGATGGCTCACATTTATTTTCTAAACAGAAGGAGTCATTTCCATTTATGTTTCCATTTATGCTCCTAGAATATATTGTTATGAAAATATAGTTTTCACTAGTGAAGCTGGACAATAAGCCATTTGCTCTGTCACACTGGTAAAAATATATTGGGACTTCTATTTATCTGCCAGGATGAGAAGGAATTTCTAGTTTTTTACTATGTGTTTCTTGCATGCCCTGTTGATACTGGTGAATGCATCAGCATCAGCCTTCACCTGGAAAGGTGTTTTCCCAGAGTTCTTGCAGCACATGTGCAGCCTTCACTACTGCACAAGCAATTCATAGTATCAGTTGCATTATCAGCGTGACTCTTTGCTACACGTACAGGCAGGTAGCCAGCTCCCTGGACTTGAGCCCAGCAGCTGCTCTGACCTCAGGTCATGTGCCCAGCACCAGATCAAAGGCTGTGAGGGATTTTTTGTTAACTACCCCCATCCCCTGAAGTAAAGTAAACATATACCTTGGTAGATAGAGGAAATTTAATAATTCTGTAGAGTAAAACAATTGAAGGTAGGTATGCTTTAAATATTTAGTTTATTATAGCCCCTTTCAGAGTTTATATTCCATATGTGATTCATTTTCTAGATTATCTTAGTTTTCTGTGGGTATTAATATTTAGTGTACTTACCACTGTCTTAAGTTGCCTTCTCTTTTTATAATGGCAGCTGGAAGAGAAAGCTCGCCTAGAAGCTGAGGCCAGGGCCCGGGAGCACCTGCACCTCCAGGAGGAGCAGAGGCGTCAGGAAGAGGAAGAGGAAGAGGAGGAGGAAGAGGAACATTTCAAGGAGGAATTTCGCCGGCTTCAGGAGCTTCAGAAGCTAAGAGCTGTAAAAAAGAAGAAGAAGGAGAGGCCAAGTAAAGACTGCTCCAAGTTGGACATGCTTGCTAGAAATTTTCAGGCAGCAACAGAGTCTGTCGCTAACTCTGAAAACACCCACAATGGCTCACTGGAGCAAACTGAAGGACCAGAAACCACCTCCTGCTCCCCTTCCAGACACATGAATCATACAGAGCCCAGGCCAGGGCCAGGAAGCGACAGGGACATTGCAGACCCCATCGACAACAGAGACTCCAAACCTCTCCTCCCCAAAGAGGTCAGTGGGAAGCAGCATGAGCCACTCTCTTTTTTCTTGGACATAATGCATCATCATAAAGAGGGAAACAGCAAACAGAAGCTAAAGCAGACCAGTAAGGCCAGCAGTGAGCCAGCACGGAAGCCCATGGAGTCCCCCAAAACCACAGAGGGACAGCCCAAACCCAGGGCCCAGACTGAGTCAAAGGCTAAAGTGGTTGACCTCACTTCCCTCACAGAACAGAAAAAAGAAGAGAGAAAAGTCAGCAGTAATAACAGTAACAAAAAGCAGCTGAACCATGTCAAGGAGGAAAGGTCAAATCCAGTACCTGCTGAGCCCGCCTCTCCCAGCGAGCTTCAGCAGAACAACAAGCTGCTACTGGCAGATTCTCCTCAGCCAAAAGGCAGGAACAAGAAAAATAAGAAGAAGAAAGGAGACAGAGTCAGCAATTCGATTGGTAAATACAGAACAGAGGGAAAATATTTCTAACCTGTGACTTTTAATTTTCTGTGTGAGATGTAATGAGAAAAGCACTTAGTTTGACATTTTCTTACAGTCTGTCTCTCCCTCCTATGGATTGGATGCTACCTTATCTATTCCTGGCTGTGCTTTTTGTGGCTTTTTCATCACCAATAAGGGACAAATAACCATTGTTATAGTTTATTATTTTGAAATAATTTAGACTTACCAAAAAGCTACAAAAAGGGTACAGAGAATTCCAGTTTCCCAGCATCAACATGGTACCAGGTTTTCCTTTGTCATTTTCTCTCCTTTTTTCTCTGTTGTTTTTCTGAACCAAATTTGAGTAGTTTTAGACATGTTTTTCCTTTACCTTTGAATACTTCAGTGTGTATTTCCTCAAAACAAGGACACTGTCTTAATAACCCTAACCTACAGTGATCAGAATCAACAGGTTTACACTGATACAATGCTCTTATCTAGTTAAGGACATTGCTTATGATTCTTGAGTTGTCCCTTTAACATCCTTGATGGCAAAAAAAAAAGTTCTTATTGTCTTCTCCTGGCAAAGGATCTAATATAAGATCACACCATATCTCTAATTTCCTTTCATTTGGATCAGTTTCTCATACAGCCCTTTTTTTTTTTTTTAGGTGTCCTTCAATTGGGTGATATGTACCATTTCTTCATAATCAGATTTAGATTGTGTGTTTTGGGCAGCAATACCATGGACATGACAGGTCACTGTTGTGCGTTCCTTGAGGAGGTGCACTGTGTTGTCTATCCCATCACTGGGATGTTAACCCTGATCCTGGGTTCAGGTGCTGTCTGCCCAGTTTCTCCACGGTCAAATCATTTGCTAATTATTAATGTCTCACACGGAAATGAATATCCTATTTTGTGCCAAACATTCACCCACTAGTTCTAGCATCCGTTAATGATTCTTGCCTTGAATGGTTATTACTATGTTATTTGCTGATGGGGATTTTTCTATTATTATTCCTTTTACATTTGTTGTTAGGCATTCTGGTATAGGAGGAGCTTTTCTTTCCCCCATGTTTTTTTCATTTATTTAGTTAGTTATTATTTATAAGAGGGTGAATTCATGAATTTTTACTTGATGCTATAGACTATTATTGTTTACTAACATTATTTATGTTGACGCTCTGGTTGTCTCAGATTCAGTCAGTAGGAACCCTCAGGATGGCTTTTTCCTCAGGCTTCTTGATGCAACTTCACTATCCTTTAAGCACTTTGCACTTCCTCTCATACTCAGGTGCTCCATGCTCATCTTGTCTATTCTGTCCCAACCCTGAACGGGTCATTTCTCCAAGGAGCCCTCATTCTTTTTAGTGGAGAGTGGTGTTTGGAAACCTAGGCCCAGGTGCTGTGGTGTGGTGCTGCTTCTACACCCTCTCAGTCAGCAAAACTGGCGATGCCAGGGCTGTGCATGTGCCACCTACACACACATCTGTGTCCATTTCTTCATCTCATTTCTATATGCAAGTCGTGCGTTCCAGAAACTCCCATCCCACTGCAGTGCCACAGTGTGCTTTCTCACCTTCCCCTTTCCACGTTCAACTCCTGCCCTGGCAGTAAGCACCTGGACCCCGTCCGTGCATTTCCTGACCTGTTCAGTCCTAGAACCACAAGTAAAGTCGTTTCCAAATTACCTTCCCTTTCCACTGTGGAAAACTTTGAACATGATTTCAGTTTGTCCAGTTATTTTTATCTTTAGCCTTAAGGTAGGTAGTGATAACACTGTGTTTAAAAGTGTCTTGTTAGTCCTTTTTCCTCTTTAGTACAATTATTTCATTCATTTAAGATACATCTGATTCATTTTTTTCTGTTTGTACTACATTTTGTTATGTTTTTCCTCCCTAGTCCCTTTGTTTTTAATCTGGTTTTCACCCACCACCATAGGTAACTGACCAGTCTCTTACTTGCTTTTTTCTTTTACACAAAAGGTAGCAAACTATAGATATTCTCTTGACCTTTGCCCTTTTTTTCCACTTAATATGTTTTGGGAATCAGCCCATTTCAGTTCATAGTGATCATCCTCATTCTTGTATAGCTGCGTAGTATTCCATTTAAAGTGTACAGTCATTTTTCCAGCCATTCTGCGCACGTGCATTTGGGCCATTCCCAGTGCTTTCTGATTACACACAGTGCTGCAATGCACACTCTTGTGCATGTGTGTTTTCATGTTGCTTGGAGATGTGTCTTCAGAGCAGTTTCCAGAAGAGAAAGTGCCGGGTCAGAAGGTAAACACATTCACAATTTTGCTACCTGCCTCCGGGTTCTCCTCAGACCCTCCACTGAGTTCCCTACCAGCAGCATCTGAGCACTCATCTGCTCACAGCCTTGCTGCAGAATATGTTGTCAGGATTTTTATGTTTTGCCCCATCCATTAACTGAAATAATTCCTCAGTATAGTTTTTATTTGCATTTTTCTCTTAAGTACGATGAGGTCAATATTTTTGGGTGGGAGAGGGTCTCTAATTATTAGAGTGCAGTGACATCATTATAGCTCACAGCAACCTCAAACTCCTGGGCTCAAGCAGTCCTCCTGCTTCAGCCTCCTGAGTAGTCATGACTACAGGTGTGCACCACTATGCCTGGCTAATTTTTAAATTTTTTTGAAGAGATGGGGTCACACTGTGTTGTTCATGCTGGTCTTGAACTCCTGGCCTCAGGCAATCCTCCTGTGTATCCTAACACTAGGATTACAGGGGTGAGCCACCGTGCCTGGTTGAGGTCAATATATTTTTAAGGGCTATTTCTATTGTTTTGTGTGAATTTTATATTCATACCTTTTTCTTGTTTTTTTAAATTGGGTTTTTAATCTTGTATTTTTAAGAATTTTTTATATATTAGGGATATTAACCTATTATGTAATATACTGCAAAGATTTTCTCCTGGTTTATAAGTTGTCTTTGATTTTATGATGCTTTGCAGCCATGTGGAAGTTTTCTTGTTTGCTTTTATGTGGTCAGTTTATTGACCTTTTGTTGCCTCTAGATTTTGTTTGTTTGTTTTAATTTTTAAAAGACGGGCCCCGAGAGCAGTGGCTCATGCCTGTAATCCTAGCTCTCTGGGAGGCTGTGGCGGGCAGATCGCTCAAGGTCAGGAGTTCTAAACCAGTCTGAGCAAGAGCGAGACCCTGTCTCTACCATAAATAGAAAGAAATTAATTGACCAACTAAAAATATATGGAAAAAAATTAACTGGGCATGACGGTGAATGCCTGTAGTCCCAGCTACTCGGGAGGCTGAAGCAGAAGGATTGCTTGAGCCCAGGAGTTTGAGGTTGCTATGAGCTTGGCTGACGCCACGGCCCTCTAGCCCAGGCAACAGAGTGAGACTCTGTCTCAAAAAATAAAAGATGGAATCTCATCTGTTGCCCAAACTAGAGTGTACTGACTCAGTCATGGCTCACAGTAACCTCAAACTCCTGGGATCAAGCAACCCTCCCACCTTACCCTCCTGAGTTGCTGGGACTATAGGTATACACCACCCCGCCTGGCAAATTTTTTTTTTTTTTCAAATTTGTGTAGAGACGGAGGTCTTACTATGTTGCCCAGGCTAGTCTTGAACTCCTGTCCTCAAGCAATCCTTCCTCCTGGCCTCCCAAACCTGTGGGATTACAGACCTGAGCCCCATGCCAGCCCCTCAGATTTTGTTAGAAAGCTTTACTCTAACGCTAAGTGGAATGTACCCGTGTTTCCTTCTAGTATTTGTGTGATATATATATATATATATTTTTTTTTAATCCCTGATACATTTGAAATTTATTCTTGTGTATGGTTTGAGTAATGGAACCATTTTTTTTCTTCTTTTCGAGATAGAGTCTCACTCTGTTGCCCGGGCTAGAGTGCGCTGGCATCAGGCTAGCTCACAGCAAACCTCAAACTCCTAGGCTCAAGCAATCCTTCGTTTGCCTCAGCCTCCCGAATAGCTAGGACTACAGGCATGTGCCACCATGCCTAGCTAATTTTTTCTATGTATTTTTAGTTGTCCAGCTAATTTCTTTGCTCAGGCTGGTTTTGAACTCCTGACCCTGAAGGATCCTCGTGCCTTGGCCTCCCAGGGTGCTAGGATTACAAGCATGAGCCACCACACCCAACCTTGGAGCCAATTTTATCTTTCAAATGATTAGCCATTTGTCCCAGCACCAGTTACTAAAAAGTTTATCCTGCCCCACTGATGAAAAATGCTACCTTTGTCCTATAGTGAATTTCCATGTGGAATTGGATCTGTTTCTGGAATTTCTGTTCTTTTCCTCTCTGTTTACTCATGTGCCATTATTGTATTGAGTTAATTGTTTTTAGAGATTCTACATGTTTTAATATCTTGAGGGCTATTCTCCCCTCATAGCTTTTCTGGTTCGGTGTTTCCCTGGCTACTTAGTGTTTGTGTTTCCATATGAACATTATTATCAGTGTTAAATTTATAAATTGATTTCGGGAGAATTAATATCTTTATGATGTTGGTCATCCTTCGCAAGAACAAGGAATGTTTTTCCATTTGTTTATGTCTACTTTTGAGTCTTTCAGGAATGTTTTAAATTTTCTATTAGATAGTGCTGCTCTAACTGGTTGTTCATGTATATGTAAGCTATTGATTTCTGTATATTACCTTTATATTGTCTATCTTACTGAATTATTTTATTGTTTGGGTCTTACTATTGATTATCTGGGGTTTTCCAGGTATTCTATCATGTATCTGCAGATAGAGCAAGCTTTAATTTTACTTTTCTTTTCTAGTTCGAGTCCTTCCCCATCCTAACAGAAATGCCTCTGGTATTTCTATATTAAGTAAGGTGCTGGCTTGGGGAGCTAAGTGTAAGGGTGGGAAGCCCTAGGTGCTCACTTCGCAGATAGAGAAAGAATTCTCATACAAGGATTAGGATAGAAAGAAAGAAAAGTTTACTTTCCCAAGAAAGAAAGAGAAAAGAAGGGAAAATGGCAGGGCACTGAAATAAAGTAGGGGGAGGTGCCAGCAGCTGAGGAAAAGCTGCTTGGGCTTCTGAAGGGTAAAAATGGCTTTTTTTTTTTTTTGTCTTTGCTGTAGACTGATAACAGGAGGTGGCTGTTTCTCCTTTTTTTGCTCCTTTGCCTGAAGATGTTCTTATCTATAGTCTGGCCTAACAGGTCTGGCAAGAAGGATTCATTCACACTTTCTTTCTGTTTACTTGCTCTTTTCAGATTCTGTGAAAACACTCTCAATAGGCAAGTTAAATAGTTATTTTCTCTGTTAGTTAATTCATAAGGAAAACCATCCTTTCACTAAGGTGTGTATATTTTATCATGTTGAGAAAATATCCAGTGTTTCTTATATTTCTTGAGTGTTTTTTAATCAGAAATGGGTGCTGAAATTTTATCAAAGGTTTTCTAGCATCTATGAAGATAATAATGATGTTTCTTCTTATACCCTTTAATATGGCATATTGTATTACCTGATTTTTTTAAAAATATTGAACCAACCTTGGATTCCTGGAATAAAGCCCACTGGCATATGATGTAGTATGTTCTTTGCATTGGAGTTCTGTTTGCTGTTATTTAATATTTTTTCATCTGTATTCATGAGGGATGAATCTGTTACTTCCTGTTTTTTGTTCTGTCTGTATTAACTTTGGATATCAGTGTTATACTTGTCTCATAAAAAGAATTAGGAAGTGTTTTTTTTTTTCTTCCATTTTCAATGTTACGAAAAAATTCAAACTGTGCTGGGACTATTCTAGGCTTTCACAGTTTGGTAGAAATGCCTGTGAACCTCCCTTTCCCTACCCCCACCCCTACCCCCATACCTGGTGTTTTTGTGAGATAGGTTGGTGATAATATTCTCTCTTTCCTCTGAATAGTGGTGTAATGTTTCTATCTCTAATGAGGTTAATTTTGGTAAACTGTATTTCCATAATAAATTATCCTTTTCAACTAGATTTTCAAATTTATTGTCATAGATGTTTGCAGGTAGTCTCATAATTTTTTAAAAATTTATTTTCAGTGATTATTTTCTCCTTGTCATTTCTTAATTTGTGTGTTTCTGCTTTCGCCTCATTTTGCTTGAGTAAGTTAGTTAGTGGTTTATCTATTTTGTTAGTTGTATTTAACCAGCTTAACATACTAGTTAGGTTTACTGCTGTTCTTTCCTCTACCTCATTAATTTCTGCTTTTTAAAATTTTTTCCCTATGTTCTCTTTTGTTTTACTTTGTTGTTTTTTTTAACTTTTTAATTTAGAAATTTAGTTCATTTATTTTCATTCTTCCATTTTTATTGATGGCACGTTGTTAAGAGCTTTGAATTTTCCGCTGATCATTTTTTTAAATGTATCCCATAGATTCTAATAAATTTTCTATTAGTTTTTCTTTTTTTTAAGAAATTGTATAATTTCCATGTGGTTTTTCCTATTGTACCCAATAATATAATAGGCAGCTTTTAAGTTTCCAGGAGGGAGAGCCTTTTTTTGTTGTTAATAGTTTCTAGGTTTGTTGCCTTAATATCATAGAATACTATTTATAATATTTCTGTTTAATGACCTACTGATATTTTCTTTGAGACCTAATACGTCAGCTTTTGTGACTGTTCCATGTGCAGTTGAGTTAGAAATGTGTTTTCTCTTATCTTGATATGTAGTGTTCAGTATATATCCATGATACATTAATTATATTGCTTATTATATGTCCTCATGATCTAGCCTCTGTTATTTATTATTAATGTTTTTCGGTTTTCTTGCATCTCCTGTAGTTTTGCTTTATAAAGGTGGTTTCTGTGTTATTTGGTGCACATTCCTGTCATACATTCTTAGTGAATTATGGCTTCAGGATTTTAAAATGTCGTCCATTTTGTTGTGTTTTGTGCTTTAAGCTTGTGTTCTTTGTCTAGGATAGTGATTGCTGCCCAAGGTCTTTGTTACCATGTGCCTGGTGAGGCAGCTCTGTCCTCATCCCTTTGTTTCTAGAGTACCTTGGTTTTAGGTCATTCTCTTGTATACAGCAAACCTGAGTCTTTTTTTTTTTTTTGAGACAGAGTCTTGCTTTGTTGCCTAGGCTAGAGTGAGTGCCATGGCGTCAGCCTAGCTCACAGCAACCTCAATCTCCTGGCTCAAGCAATCCTTCTGCCTCAGCCTCCCAAGTAGCTGGGACTACAGGCATGTGCCACCATGCCTGGCTAATTTTTTATATATATATATATATTAGTTGGCCAATTAATTTCTTTCTATTTATAGTAGAGACGGGTCTCGCTCTTGCTCAGGCTGGTTTCGAACTCCTGACCTCGAGCAATCTGTCCGCCTCGGCCTCCCAGAGAGCTAGGATTACAGGTGTGAGCCACCACGCCCAGCCGCTGAGTCTTTCTTTGTGAGTCAAATTCAAAATCTCCTCTTTGGTGAGTTAAGCTCACTCACATTTATAGATATAACTACATGGTTGCTCTCAACCCTGTCATTATTTCATAAATCCTGTATTTTATATTTGTTGTTTGTTTTTCTATATAATGTGTTCTTTGCTCTTTTATTCCTAAAAAAAAAAATTTTGGCGTAGGAAAATTTGTGTTTTTTCCCTGGTACATTCCTTTATACTTAGCACTGAGTGCTCCTGGTGAGGACTCCCTGAGTGCCTGCTCCCAGTCTGCTATTTGTGTCTTGGAGGGTCCTCCAACCCACTCTTGCCTCCCCGGCAGGAGCAAGTTAATTCCAGTCTTTCTACTTTGCTGTTCTGGTCTCTTCTTTTCCCATTTTTCAGGTGCACAGTTAAATATGGCAGTGCTCATGCCCTGATGCCATGTCTTCCCAGCATCCTCAGGCATTGGCTTTCAGAGGGCTGCAGCATTCTCTAACATCTGACAAAGTAAACTTTCTCCTGTCGTGTTGACAGTGTACAGACAGCTTGCTTGGATATAAAATTCTTGTGTCATACTTACTTTCTACTCTGTTTAATATAGTCTTTAAAAAGTGTCTTCCTGATACTGAATCTCGTAAAGCTGTGAGTTTTTTCTTGGGAGACAGGGTCTCACTCTGTCGTCCAGGCTAGTGTAGTGGTTCAGTCATAGCTCACTGCAGTCTCCAACTCCTGCTACCAAGTATCCTGCTACCTCAACCTCTCGAGTAGCTGGGACTACATGGGCACCACCATGCTTTTTTTTTTTTTTTCTTTTCTTATATCCAGCAACTTTATAAAGCCAAAATTTATATAGTCCCAAAGAAACGGCTGTGGTTCTTTTAAGAAATGGGTCTTCTTGAATTACAAACTTTAACACCATTTTGCATCGAAGAACGAGGATATTTAGTGAGTACATTTCTTTGTTACACTAAGATTTTATAAACTGATTATTCTATCAGGACAAAAAATATTAGAAATGTCATTATGACAGCAATTCCAGCAGATATGCCAGCTCTTTGCTTTTGTGGTTGGAGCTGTTCCTCTTCTAGAACTATTTATGGAATAGCTGTTAAGATTGTGCTTTCTCAGACTTTGCATCTGTCATGCTCCTGCCTCATCTCACCCTCATGCCTCAATGTTTCCTTGATCCGTGGCCAAATGTTTTGTTGCCTTTTTTCCCTGCTAATTGAGACTCAGTATGCCTACCCATTCCCTGAAGTCCCTATTCATGTAGGTTTGTAGAGACTGCTATGGCCAGCGGCTGCCTCCACTCTTCCAGTCTGCTACTGTTTGCCAGGGTCCAGTCATTGGCTGAATTTCCTTTGAACCTTCCTCCTGAGCTGAGATTACCAAAGGTCAACTCTTGCAGGCCTTATGCTCTTCCCCTGGAGTGGTGAGCATGCCCAGCCTTCTTAGCCTTCAATCCTAGACCTCTCAACCCCCTGAGCAGCAGCAGTCATGGCTTTCGACCAGCTCTGTGTCCTCATGGATGCGATTGTGAGCTGAGATAGCCAACATTGTCATAAAGCATGTCCTTAGGGAGAAGTTCCTGTGTGACATTTCTCTGAGCTAGTATATATAAAAGCACTTCACTTGGTGCAGTGTGAGTTGTCAAAATGTTAACTGCTATAACACAAGTAAAACGTGCCTTTTTATCCTGCTGTGGAAATGGGCCCACTGACAGGTAGAAATGAGGGCTTTCTTTAGTAAGGATTCTGAAAAGTCCCATATTAAGGTCTAGGGCAAAATGGAGACTCTCCTTTAACAGAAATGTTAGTGGTCTCTGCTATCTTGTCCACGTTGATGGGGCTGAATGCTATGCATCAACTGCCCCACCCTCCAGCACATACTTAGGTCTCAGACGAATTCCAGGGAAGGTGTTTAATGTTGAATCAAATGGGTGGGCAGAGCAGAAGAGAGAAATTGAAATTCTCAGACTTGCCTGAAATTCTAGGAAATTGAGTAATCCTGAATCAGTAATTGCCCTGCTACCCTGACAATTTTCAAAGAGGCTTATTTAACTGGAAAGTGAAATGTAGCCTTGCTTCCTGTTTTTAATGACCTGAATGTCATGTGTGTGAGATGAATGCCTGGGAGAGCCGGCTTCCTGTAGGGTTGATGTCTGGGTCCTCTTCCTGTCAAGGGTACAGCCAAAGGACTGTACTTGCCTTGCCATGGGCCTGCCCTCTGGGCAGCTTCTGCTGGCATCTGTGCCCTCCTCCTTTCCAGCGGAGACTTATTAGGACAGCTGCTGGGCTTGCATGCATCTTAAGTTTCTGGAAACCTTCTAAATGGCTCTCCAATGAGCTAGCTGTCATTTAACGACCACTTGGGAAGTCTAAGTTCTAGCAAAGGGATCTCTTCTAATGGGACCTGAAGCCGCAGTTGCTATGTTTAGCAAACATGTGAGTTCCAGGTTGGACCTGGATGTTCATAAACAGACCAAAGCAATCTACCCTCCTTTGCTTTCTATAAAATTTTGTTTTAGACAAATTTTTACAATTTGTGAAGTTGTTTAAATTAAATGAAGCCAAATGATTTAGTGTATTCTGGTAAGATAGCCCATTGTAATTTGACTTGCCTCTTTTCTTTCATTCTACAGATGATGTCTTTCTGCCTAAAGATATTGACCTAGACAGTGTGGATATGGATGAGACAGAGAGGGAAGTGGAATATTTCAAAAGGTAAATATGAGGACTGCGTGTCTAAGACAATGGTGATTGTGTGGTTGTCTTACATAGTTGGTTTTCTCTCTTTCCCTGACCCTCCCATGGCACTTGCAGTTGTCTTGGGTGAAGTTCTATTAGCAATCCAGACAGCCTTGCACCTGAGTAACCTTCTAACAGGACAGGCCTACTGCACATGTCATTTCCACACCCCTAGCACTCAGAAATACACTCACTCACTTCTCCCCTCCCTCACACATTCAAAGACTAGCTGATGGCAGCAGTTCTCAAAGTGGTCCTGGACCAGCAGCAACACCCTCTCCCCAACTCCCCAACCCCAAAAATGCTGAAAATCACTCTCTGGGATAGGCTATCATCTGTGTTCTTGCAAGCCTTCCAGGCGATCCTGATGTGTGCTGATGTTGGAACACACTGATATGGCATGCTTTTAAGGAGAGAAGTAATATTTTAGATACCTGCTCAGTTTTCAGATGGGCAAACTTTATAAGGATTGTGTTCAGTAATGTTTCATATATGCCAGGCGTGGTGGCTCACTCCTGTAATCCCAGGCTGAGGTGGGAAGCTCACTTAAAGTCAGGAGTTTAAGGGCAGCCTGAGCAAGAGCAAGACCCTGTCTCTACAAAAAAATAAAAAATTAGCTGGAAGTGGTGGCACGCACCTGTAGCCCCAACTACTCGGGAGGGTTAGGCAGGAAGGTCGCTTGAGCCCAAGAGTATGGCTCACACCTGTAATCTCAGCACCTTGGGAGGCTGAGATGGGAAGATTACTTGAGGACAGGAATTTGATTCCAGCCTGGACAATATAGTGAGTCCCCATCTCTACAAAAAAATGTAAAACTAGTTGAGCACAGTGGCACATGCCCGTAGACCTCAGCTGTTTGAGAAGCTGAAGCAGGAAGATGGCTTCAGGCCAGGAGTTCAAGCTTACTTACAAGTGAACTATGATCATTCTACTGCACCCCAGCCTGGCCGACAGAGCAAGACCCTGTCTCTATAAAAGTAAATAAATAAAGCTCCTTGTTTTTCTTTGGAAATACTTCAAACTCTTTGTTTCAAGTAATACAAAAGAAGCAATGTGCAATGCGAAAACTCATTAACTTATATCTGAAATACCGTAAAATTCTAAATGTTTCTGGAAATTATGTCTATTTTAATAACGTGTATATTTTATGTATATATGTAGGTGAAATAAAATATTTGCTAAAGTTAAACATTTGTTCATAATAAAAACTCTTAACAAGCATAGACTAGAAGGATACATCCTTAACATAATAAAAGGTTAAAGATAGTCTTAAAAAACGTTCAGTAAGGCCAGGTGCAGTGACTCATGCCAACTTGGGAGACTTAGACAGGAGGAGCACTTGAGGCCACCAGGAGTTTGAGACCAGCCTGAGAAATGTAGTGAGACTCCATCTTTACAAATAGCTAGGCATGGTGGCATGAGACTGTAGTCCCTGCTACTCAGGAGGCTAAGGCAGGAGCCCCAGAAGTTTGAGGTTGTAGTGAGCTATGATGACACCACTACACTCTGTCTGGGGCAACAGAGCAAGACCCCATCTTAAAAATGAAAACCAACACAAAACTCCAGTAAATGTCATATTTAGTGGTGAGACATTAAAAGTTATCTATTGAAGCTGGGCGAGGTGGCTCACGCCTGTAATCCTAGCACTCTGGGAGGCTGAGGTGGGCGGATTGCTCAAGGTCAGGAGTTCGAAACCAGCCTGAGCAAGAGCGAGACCCCATCTCTACTATAAATAGAAAGAAATTAATTGAACAACTAATATATATAGAAAAAAATTAGCCGGGCATGGTGGCACGTGCCTGTAGTCCCAGCTACTCGGGAGGCTGAGGCAGAAGGATCACTTGAGCCCAGGAGTTTGAGGTTGCTGTGAGCTAGGCTGACGCCACGGCACTCACTCTAGCCTGAGCAACAAAGTGAGACTCTGTCTCAAAAAAAAAAAAGTTATCTATTGAGATTAAGGATGCCTATTATCACAACCTCTGTAAAGGCATAAAAGGAAACAAAACAGATAAGTTTTAGAAGGAAGAAGTGAAATTGTCATTATTCTTACACAATATGAGTGTGTTTGTACAAAATCCAGAAGAACCTACAGATAAATTACCTAAACTGTTAAGATAGCTGGGCATGGTTATTGGATACAAAGTCAGTCCACAGGATTCTACTTCTGATGTCATGTACAATCAGGGGATCCTTTTCCCTCAAACTCAAGCTCCGATTCACACCCTTCTATTCATTAAGGCATTCGTGGTCTTAGAACAAGCAAGAGAGGTCTGTAGGAATTACCTATCTCCTCCCCAGGGAAGCAGACAGGAACTGAGCTGAGTTGAGATTGTATGGGATGAAGGTTTGGGGAGGCCAAAAGCCTAGATTTCCCTACAACTACAGTGGGAATGCCCGAGTATCAGGCCAAGAATACCTGCGAACAGATGTCAGGACAGCAAGGAACCAAAGCCATGCCTGGAGCTCAAGTGGCAGGGAGGGGAGGGTTTACTCTGAAGCTGGATTCCAAGGACAAAGGATAGAGTAAGTACATGTTAGATATAGATAGGACTTTGGAGGGAAATTTTTCTAAGTTGGGCATGTAGGACTTCCATTCGTTAAAATCATGCATTTTCTCACAAAAAATTTTAAAAAACAGGATTTCTGAAAAACAATGGAATATCTAGGAATGAAAAATATAATTTGTTGAAGTGAAGACTTCCATAGATAACAGACTAATCTGTTCATGAACAGATTAGCTACTGTTGAAGAAGAAAGTAGTTAACTGATGCCAGATGATTGCAGTCGCTAAAAAAAAAAAAAAAAAAAAAAAGAAAGTAGTTAACTGGAAAATATATCTCAAAAATGTACCCAGAAAGTACTAAGATATTCGGAAAATAGAAAATATGAAAGAGAGGTTAAGAGACAAGAAAGACTGGGTAGGTCTAACATTCATTTGATTGGTACTGCCTGTAAGAGAAAACGGAGAGACTGCAGAAAAGGGCAATATTTAAAGAGATGGTACCTGAGAATTTTATAAAACAGACATACAAGTCTATAAAGTAAAAGACCACAACACTTGCCAATAGGATAAACAAACAAAAATCCACTCTTTTAGCATTTAAAACCAGACACCAGAAGATAGTGGGCTAACATTAAAAACTGTTCAAAGAAAATTGTCAGTCTAGGCCAATACATATATATATAATATGTATATAATAAATTCAACCCAAGGAAAAAATTGAAAATGTGAATGGTCCAATAACTGTTAAAGAAATGTAAGCAGTAACTAACTATAAGTCTTCCCAGCGAGAAGACTGTATTCTGATTATTTTACAGAGAATTCTACCAAACTTTCAAAGAATAGGTTATCCAGTCTTGTACAGACAATACCAGAGAATTTAAATGAGAGAACAGATGCACAAGTGAATATGCACCACTTCGTTTTATGACACAAGTAAAATTTTGATGCAGAAATCTGCCAAAAACAATTCCAGTGCTGGGCGTGATGGCTCACACCTATAATCCCAGCACTTTTGGAGGCTGAGGCAGGAGGATCACTTGAGTGCAGGAGTTCAAGACAAGCGTAGGCAACATAGCAAGACCTTGTCTCTATAAAAATAAAAAAGTCAGGTGTGGTGTGTGTTTTGTTTTTTTGTTTTTAAGACAGAATCTCACTCTGTTGCCTGGACTGGAGTGCCATGGCATTAGCCTATCTCACAGCAACCTCAAGCTTGCAGACTCAAGTGATCTTTCTGCCTCTGCCTCCCGAGTAGCTAGGACTACAGGGATGTGCCACCATGCCCAGCTAATTTTTTCTATATGTTTTTAGTTGTCCAGATTATTTGTGTGTGTGTTTGTTTGTTTGTTTGTTTGTTTGTTTGTTTTGAGACAGAGTCTCACTCTGTTGCCCAGGCTAGAGTGCTGTGGTGTCAGCTCAGCTCACAGCAACCTCAAACTCCTGGGCTCAGGCAATCCTCCTGCCTCAGCCTCCCGAGTAGCTGGGACTACAGGCACGTGCCACCATGCCCAGCTAATTTTTTCTATATATTTTTAGTTGGCCAATTGATTTGTTTCTATTTTTAGTAGAGACCAGGGTCTCGCTCTTGCTCAGGCTGGTTTTGAACTCCTGACCGTGAACGATCCGCCCGCCTCGGCCTCACACAGGGCTAGGATTACAGGCGTGAGCCACCACGCCCGGCCCAGGTAATTTCTTTCTATTTTAGTAGAGACGAAGTCTCGCTCTTGCTCGGGCTGGTCTCAAACTCCTGAGTTCAAATGATCCACCCACCTCGGCCTCCTAGAGTGCTAGGACTACAGGCATGAGCCACCGCGCCTGGCCCACATGTGGTGTTTCTCATCTGTATTCTTAGCTACTTGGGAAGTTGAGGAAGAGGATCACATGAGTCCAAGATTTGGAGGTTTCAGTGATTACGACTGTGCCATTGCACTCCAGCCTGGGCAACAAAGTGAGACCCTGTATCAGAAAGCAAAGCCAGGCAGTGTGGCTCACACATGTAATCCCAGCATTTTGGGAGGCCAAAGCAGGAGGATCACTTGAGGACAGGAGTTTGAGAGCATCCTGAGCAACATAGTGAAACCCAATCCCTACAAAAATTGTAAAAATTAGCAGGGCATGGTGGATGGCACCTGTAGTCCCAGATATTGCAGAAGCCGAGGCAGGAAGATCACTTTAAGTCCAAGAATTTCAGATTGTAGTGAGCTATGACATTACCACTGCACTGTAGCCCAAGCAAGAGAGTGAGACCCTGTCTAAAAACAAAATTCCAGAAAAAAAGAAAAATTACAGATTTGTCTCACTAATTTTAAATGCAAAATTTAATATTAGACCCTATCTTAAAAAAATAAATAGTCTCATACCAAATCCAACAGTGTATTTTAAAAGCCACTATACCATGACTAAACTGGTTTGTCCCAGGAATGCAAGGATTATTTAATATTAGAAAATACAGTATTTGCTGCATTAATAAATTCAA